ACGATGAATAACACTGAGCTACCTGTTGTCCAGACATATAATGACTTAGGAGTTATCGTTAGCCAAGACTTAAAGACTACTGCGCACTGCCGTGCAATAGCCGCCAAAGGTTTTAGAACGTTATGGTCAATACGTAGGGCTTTTAGTCATGTCGACGCTAAGACGTTTTTGACTTTGTATACAGTGTTCGTACGCCCTAAACTTGAGTACTGCATACAAACGGCCAGCCCCTGTTTAAAAATAGACAGTGAGCTTCTGGAAAGGGTTCAGAGAACGGCGACTAAGCTGATTCCCGGAATAGCGAAGCTTCCGTATGAAGCCCGACTGGCCAAGCTGAACCTTTACCCGTTGTCATATCGCAGAACTAGAGGCGACTTTATTACAGTTTTCAAATAACTTAGTACCAAATTTGCACCTGATTGCCCTCATTTTTCTTGTCTTCCAAAACAGAGAATTTACGAGGACACTCCAAAATGTTCACAAGCACATAACAAATTACTTGTCAGCTGACTATCGACTTTCCCATCGAATCATCAACGAGTGGAATTCACTACCTCAGCACGTGGTTGAGGCTCCATCCGTCGACTCTTTCAAAAGAAAGTTGGATCAACTGAGAGACCACCATTGCCAGGATTAACACAGGCCATCAGGCCTCCTGTCCTTCCCAAACTGAAACTGAAACAGATTCAACGGCCGTTTGAATCAGTACCAGACATGTTGGGAGTAGTCGCGCTCCGGAGAGTGTCAAACGAATATTATAAATCCTCCAGTTATTGCTTATTTGTAAAACAAATGGAAAGGAGGCGACAGAAACTGATCGGGAAAACAGCGAGTAATAATATGTTGGTACGACGTTGGTTAAACGTAAAGCGATTAACCATAGAAATAGTGAAAAGAACAAAACGTTTTATTGTTCTATCAAGTCGCGCTGAAATATATAGCTTTGACAAGTAATTCAGTTCCTCTGATGAGAAACGTTTAGTTTGCCGCAATAGTAATGATGCTATACCGATAGTAGGATAAGTGTACTATCAATCGATGCCGAAGTCTATACTGCCATTGATTTAAATTTGAATGCCAGACAGTGTCGTTGACAGCTTCTAGTTATATCTATATCTAACAGACTAACCGTAAGTACAGAAGTATAACCGTGAAGAGTGGTCGTGATTTCGTTGTGTGAAGCTATTAATCAACTTGTAGTCAGGGTTAGAAAAGACGATGACTGCTGTTACAGTCAGTAAGGGTCGAAAGCTGCAAATTGACGGCAAAGGTGGCAAGGTGAAGTCTCTAAAAGATGATAAACGGTGAGTGCTGTGTGTTTGTTCGGTTAGTTAACAGAAAAATATCTAAAAGAACATAAGAAACCAAGAGTGTCGCTCTGGACTCATGTCAATGATACCAGTGAAAAACGCTGTCAGTGTTGGGATAGAGGCGATAATGTAGTTTCCAGTTTGCAGGAGATTCGCTCGACTGCATAAACTGATGATTCGCGCGAATGATATTGTCGTCAGACCACCAATTGAACTGGACAGGTTTTAAATCGTTGAGTAGTTGAACAGCCGATTTATGTGCCGAAATCATCTGCTGAATAACAGCCACGAGGAAACAGTACTTCGTAAAATAAAGTACGACGTCGAAGTAGAATAACTACAATAGCTCGGATGTGTTATAAAGTCAAATCTAAATAACATCGTTCTTACGTATACTGACAGTTGCACTGAACGTTCGTTTAGGTATTATTTGCGTCACAGTTTAGCGTGTGAATAAAAACATATACGAAAACTATGGTTGGGTTCGTGGAGAATTTTTGAGGACGATCAGATATTTTCCAAACCCGTATTGTATACAAATAAACCGAAAATGGAATTAAAATGACTGTCGTGTAATAAGGAAATCGAGCCATGATTTACCGTGTGAAATAATAGCAAATACAAGGAGTATAATAAACATTAATTAAAATGGTAACCACCAATGTAACTAAAGTTTAAAGGGTTCAGGTAACATGCCCATTTCGTAAAAGGCTGATATGTAGTGGCATTAGACAATAGCCACACAATCCACAAAGCTGTGAACACGAGACTGCTCAGAAAATAGATATTCAATATTTAACGCGGAGAAATACCTAACGATGGAGAAGGCGCGAGTAATGAGTTGAATCTACTGGGGTTGATCGAGTGGCATGACTCGGCCATGCAGGCGTGGTCACTGCTGAATGTTACCTTATATCTTCTATTCATATTAAATATATTGTTCTTCCTGTAGCCTAACCTTGTTCTACATCATGTATTGGTAATTGATACGATACAGTGAGTTGGTGTAGTCGATGGTGTGACTTCCACGTAAGATCTTATAGATTAGGCAGTTATATCATGACAAATCTACAAATTTAGGATTAGGTCTATTATTAGAGCAGTACTAATATCATGGTAGATCATAATACTACAGATACAAAGAGCTTATTACCCAGCGTTAAGTGACATATTAAGTACGACAACGTGTGTACTTGGGACATGGACTAAGCGTGCTCGTGTACATGCAATATGTTTTACCACAGTATGTCGACTAACGCAGTGAACCTATAAGCTACCGACCAGTGGCTCTCTCTACCTCCAAAATTATGGAGTCCCTGATATGCGAAGGTATGTACGATTATTTATTATCCATAAACTTCTGTTCACTCCAACAGTATGGTTTCAGGAAGGGGCATTCTAGTATAACCAACTTGTTGACTGCGGTGGACAGATTGGCAACCACGCTTGATCGCAAGGGAAGGTTGATATAATTTAACTTGACTTCTCAAAAGCTTTTCATAGGGTCAACCATATATGTCTTATGAATGAGTTCAAACGATTAGATATCAAATCACCTCTAATTGATTGGCTCACTTCATATCTAAGAAATCACTTTCTCTCAGGCTGTGGAATATCTTAGTTGATCTCAGATTCTAGTCTCGTGAAGAGAGCATGTAGAATTATGGTCTACTACGATATTATTACTGCTCTAATAATAGACCTAATCCTAAACTTGTAGATTTGTCATGATATAACTGCCTAATCTATAAGATCTTACGTGGAAGTCACACCATCGACTACACCAACTCACTGTAGCGTATCAATTACCAATACATAATGTAGAACAAGGTTAGGCTAGAGAAAGAACAATATATTTAATATGAATGAGATATAGGATAACATCCAGCAGGGACCACGCCTGCATGGCCGAGCCATGCCACTCGATCAACCCCAGTCCATTCAATTCATTGTTCGCGCCTTCTCCATTGTTAGGTATTTCTCCGCGTTAAATATTGAATATCTATTTTCTGAGTAGTCTCGTGTTCACAGCTTTGTGGATTGTGTGGCTATTGTCCAATGCCACTACAAGCATACCGTCACTCAACCTTTACTCATTAGAGCATAAGCGTCCTAGAGGTGATCTATTAACTAACAGCATCCTTTGCACTTCTGGACATCCCGTTGAAAATCTACTTAAGCTTAGTCCTAACACCTAGAAACTGGAGACATAACACAGTAGAACGAACTGTAGGCACACTTCTTACTCCCTAAGAATGGTTAAATACCGGAATTCGCCGCCAGCTGAGCCAGTCCAAGAGACTTATCAGGTGTTCTATAAGAGGACACGTGACCTATTCCTAAGGACTGCGAACAGTATGTCACTATGATTTACTAACATTTTTTCTTTTCCCTCTTTTATTGATAATATACCTAGGTTCCTGCTTGGAGGTATCGGTGATTCACTGCTACCAGATATACTTAAGATATTCCTCTCTAGAAGTATTCCAAGTTGAAGAAGATTTACGGGTCATGGTACCCTTTTTGTGCCGTTGAACTGACTCCATTTTTATTGTATGGATGTTTGCTATCGCTGATTCTCGTATATCATCGTCGACTTAAATCGCGTTATCCAAAAACGGAATTAAATAAGTCGAATAACGAGAATTGACTTGAGAATACATATATTTCGTACATAAAGCGAATGAAGCATAGCAAAGCAATTTTGACACGTATGGAAGATGGCTGTGAAGCCAACTCCATTTTAGTCAAGCGTTACTCAATATTTATAGTCAGACAAAATAAAGCTACAGACATGTGATTAATAGAATAAGAAGGGCATACACATATATGTTCATATAAAAACAGTCTAGATTGATAAGCGAATAAATAAAAAGGTCAAAGTATGGCTCGAGTAGAATGAATAAAATGGGATGTCCGGGAGCTAGAATAAGGTATATGGGCTTGGCATAATAACTGACACTACACCCTACGTTTTGAAGTCTTACGCTAAATGTGACAAAAATGCCTTTCGAGCAAACCTTGCACTGGTAACATTGAAGCGCTTTTTGGCTGGTTCTACGGAAGAACTTTCCACATAATTTTCAACAATTTTATTCGCCCCATTTTGAGTACGAAACATAGTATTACCTCCCCCACTCAAAAAGGATGACACTCTGGAGCGTACCCAATGGCGAGCCACGAAATCAGTTAGGAGACGCAAATTCAAGCCTTATGAAGAGCGTTTCAAATCGCTAAACCTTTCCCTATTAAAGTATAGGTGTCTTAGAGGCGACCTTCTAATAAATTTCAGCATCCTTAACACTTCTGGACTAAGGATAACAATTTATTAGGATTTACCAATTTCTTTTTTCCTCTATTACCGTTAATATACCTAGGTTCCTGCCTGGAGATATCGGTGATCCAGTGCTACTGGACATGGAAGCCCGTGAGCGAAAGCTTCTATTCTGTCCACAACCATTTGAACCATTTAGAACCATTTGAATCATTTGAAGTGCCGTCTGATCGTACATCTATGGTGTGTTTGAAGACAAAAAAGATACTTAAAGCTGTTATAGTGTAAACTCATAAGTTCAGTTTACCCTCTATCAGAAGAAATAAACATTATCAAAATGAACGTTATGTCTATTCTTTACCTTGTTCAATTGACAAAGATAAGCGCACTGTTCCTTAGGTGTGTTACTTAATCGCTTTCACACATGTGCACAGCGTGTAGTTTCGTTCTAGAGAATTCTTACTGAAAATTTTATAGCCTCAAAGTTTATAAGACTGACCTATATTTCAACTAATTTATTACGACTCATAACTATCTCACTTTTATCTTTTGTTGTCGTTGGATGCTCCTAGTACCACATCATAACTTACCAAGTTATCCGATCTCGTATACTACTCAGCATAACATCATTATTAAAGTTGATATTGGCTCCATTCGAAAGCATTATTCTCGTTTCACATATGACAGTAATCTTCACCTGGGATCTGAATAATTCTGTAGTGAATTTTGTTTTGTCATTAGTGAATTTGTCATTACATCTAAATCTCGACATTTGTTGATCAATCTCAATCGGTTTATAATAGTAACATGGTTTGTATCAGACCAAATACAGTTCTCATACATGGATTCATACGATAGAATTTCTGCTTCATAATGATGAATCAGTCCCATTAACAGTTCACTGTGTTTTTAGCATGCAATTGAGTTATATCCCTCAATAATATCTCTTAAGCTGTTGTTTCGCAGCTCAAGGTTTAGAACTCGCATTCTCAAACTCAGTTGTGTTGGGAAGGTAGTATATTTTTGCTCATACATATGTACTACAAACATTATAGTGTATCATTTAGCTGTCTATTTGTTTCTATCCGGTCTTCGTTTGAAGCCCTGAGATCGAATGAAGTTATGTTTATTGCTGACAGATGTAATAGGTTCGATCGAAATTAAAATCTGGGAAGGATGTGATTGAACATGTAAACATCTTTAAACAGAGATTTTTTAAATATTTACATACGAAAGTAAACGATAAGACTTAGTAATGGTTAGACGTAAGCTGTGGTCAATTCGGCAATCAAAACAGAAAAATACCCTCACATAGCTTACAGTGACACTAAATCTTTTAAAACACTGTTCTAAGTACCCGATAATGTTTCCATACGATTGGAAGCTAAAAGTTTTCTGCAATTCTTAATATTTGTAAAATAATGGGCATTATTCCGTCATATATAATAAAGTAGCTCATATCGTTAATTTAATCTTAATGTCCTCTCTTAATAAAAGTCCGAATATAATTAGATGTTAGATGTAATGTCATGCAGCAAATATTAGTATTAGTCTGGGATCATGTATATCAAATTTGATCTGCTTTAAACCTCGTAGCTTCTCTATCATATGTAGAATTTAACATGTTATCATGTTTTATTTATTGGCAGTAAAATTTGAATCATTTGAAATCCTCTTGCCGTCTTGAGGAATGTCTATTACCGTGTTTTAAGGCTCTAAAGGTAAATCGAACAGTTCCTCCTATCTTTGAACTGACTCTCAGTTTAGAAGAAAAGTTCTACTAAAACACTAAATATCTATCCAAATTGTTTCATATGCTGTTCTGGTATCTTCTGCTTTTTTCTTTTGTTTAGTTGATTTTCAAATATGGAATCTGTCGATATTCATTGTTCTGCCTTATGCACAGCTAAAAATCGGAACCTGTCACTTCCTACGTCTACAGATGTCTCAACTCCATTTCGTTTTGTAATTATTGCTGACCCACAGCTTGGTTTACTTGAACAGTATGTGGAGAAACGTCCTCGACCCCACCACTGGGATAGGGAAGTGAAGCTTGTAAGTAGGGCAGTAAGTATCATAAATCGTCTTTGTCCGAAGCCAGCTTTTGTTATCATTTGTGGGGATCTTGTTAACGAACATCCAGGTGGTTCTGATAGATGTAAACAAACATCTGATTTGTTGGATATACTGTCTCATCTCAACAGTGATATCCCTCTTATTGTGCTTCCAGGAAATCATGATGTTGGGAACCGCCCTGATGTAAATGACGTGCAGGACTATATAAGCATGTGGGGAGATGATTACTTTACTTTCATATTTAACCGAACAAGGTTTATTGTACTTAATACTCAATACCTAGTGAATGACTCGAAGTGTCAATCTTCGTCCAGTGAATTTCGTCAGTGGTTCAATGAACAACTCTCTATAAAAAATGAAAATTTTGATATGTCGGTTGTATTCCAGGTAAATATACATATTAATTCAAAATAAGTGATAATCGATAGTGCTTTGCCCGCACTTTTTGGTCCTATATTTCCATATTTTTCAAAACATCACACTTTACATATCTCCGTCATTTTCCATGGTCTGACCACAATATGTATTATGAAGTTCTTCCTGGCGTTATAGGTTATTTAAGTCAAATAGTGGTTTTCGACTCTATCCTAAAATAGTGGCAAGATATAGTACTCATTTGTGACCACAAATTGCTATAAAAGTCTACGTTGACTAAGGTAAGAACACTGGAGAAACTTTAGCACGTGTAAATTAGCACGTAGCACCTATTCGTGGTGCTGTTTATTTCTCAATTCAGCTTTTTTTATTGCTATTTTTCACAGTTAATTGGAAATACTAGCTATCTATAACAAAAAACTCCTGTCACAATTGGCAGTAGGAAGAAAACGAGAGAAATCATACAGACTAACAAAGGTGAAAGTTCTGAAGAGTATAAATTGATATAAAAAATGCGACGAAGATAAATTCCATACATCGCAAAACGTACACTTCAGTGTTCGTGAAAAATAGCCGAAAACTACCGAAATATTGTCAGTAAATAATTTTGGAGCCATTCATGGTAAAATCTTGGCTATTGAGTTACAGTCTCCATGACCTCATCTAGGAGTAGTAAATTATCACACTGACTAATTGCATGTTCTCGTACTTGCCTTCGTCCCGACGGTTGCTGCTGTGTTGACGTGGTGGTTGGGCTTGCCTGTCGTGATAAACCAATCGAGCTATACTGCCTGGAACCATCATTCCTCAAGGTCCTACCATGCCAGACAGGTCGGTTGAACAGCGGTAAGACTAAAAGCAGTAAACTCAGAGTCTGAGGGCGAAGCCGTACTGCTGACTGTACAGAGGTGTGACGGCAGTAAGATGTTTCCTTCAGACAACTGGCATAACAGTGATGCCGCCTTCCCACGAGGTCAGTCAGTCAGTCAGTAACAACGTAGAACTTCGTACGTACGTACACCAGTTCGAGTTGCCACACCACATTAGCACAGAGATGCAGTGGTCGATTCGAATCCCGTAGTGGAAGAGATAATAAGCGTATAAACAGTAATCGGGAAGATTAGTGTTTGGAGATGTTACTTAAAGAGTATAATACAGTGAAATAAATTTGGGAAGAGAAAAAAACAGACAAGGACGAATAAGGAGATCAAGATTTGGGAGAACACGAAGAGTGTATGCACCTGCGCCGTTGCAAACGATTTTGAGCCATGTCATTCAGGGTCTCTAACCATCGGTTGCTATCATCTCGCGGTCCCCAACCAGGTAGTCTACACCTACCAACATGACTCAGTCCACTTGTCAGTGACTTCATGGACTTGTGCCATGTTTTGGTCTGGCCGCCCATAGCTTTTCTCCAATCTACTCCTATACCACTGAACATAGCACGCCGAGGCAGTCGGTCGTTGGGCATACGTAAGACATGTTCGAGCCATCTCAACTGATGAAGTTTCACTACATCCTTAACTAGCACCCGTTTCCTAACAACTGCATTACTTACTCGATGGTCCCATGATATACGAGCAATATTTCGAAGACACCTATGATCAAATACTAGTAACCTACGGATATCCTCTACTCATACCAGCCATGTTTCACTGCCATAAAGTAGGACGGAACGAACTGCTGCTCAGTAAACCTGTTCTTTGATTGAGAGACGGATATCCCGCCTACGCCATAAATGACGCAAGTTGGCAAAAGCTAGTCGAGCCTTCTGTATCCGTTCTGAGACTTCGTCACACACCAGACCACAAGGGCTGATGAGACTTCCAAGATAAGTGAAGCGATCGACACGCTCAATTACTTCACCCCCTATCATTAGTTCGGGTGTCAATGTAACCCAATCTTGAAGCAACATTTTGCATTTCGAGGGAGAGAATCGCATCCCGAACATGTTGGTATTGTTGCTTAGAGTGGTCATAAGACTCTACATTTTGTCAGCGTCTTCACCAAATAAAACTATGTCATCTGCATATTCTAAGTCAACAAGTGAACCTCCCGGTACAAGTTCAACCCCTGTAAATTTAGATGAGGAAAGTGTTATCTCTAAAAGTACGTCAATGACAAAGTTGAACAAGAATGGGGAGAGTGAGCAGCCCTGACGAACACCACTTGAGGTAATCAATTCTGATGACAGTTCGCCATAAGCTCTCACTCTACCAGTTGTGTTCGAGTAGAGAGCCTTTACAAGGTTAATCTATTTGTTTGGTACTCCTTTCATTGACAAACACTGCCATAGAACCTCACGATCAACAGAGTCAAATGCTACTTTAAGGTCGAGAAATACTACGATTGTGGAGCGTCTAAACGTGTGTCTGTGTTCTAGAACCTGACGTAGTGTGAATATCTGATCTATACAACCACGTACAGGTCGAAAACCAGCCTGATTTTCTCTAGTCTGTTATTCACGAGCTTTGGTTAGGCGTCGAAGTATTATTGAAGCTAATATTTTAGACACTATATTAGTCAAACTGATTCCTCTGTGATTGTCACAAGAGGACTTTTGTCCTTTCTTATAGACTGGCACAATCAGTGATTGAGACCAGTCACATGGGATTACATCCAGTTCCCAAATTCTACCTAATACCTCAGTTAATCTCATTGCTAATACTGAACCACCATCCTTAAAAATCTCAGGAGTAAACCTGTCAGGGCCTGCTGCTCTCCCTCGTTTCAGATTTCCTATAGCTTTTTCAACTTCGTAAAGAGTCGGAGGACCTACATTAACTTGCCATTCAGGTTGACTGGAGATCGTGGGAAACCGAAGTGTGGCTGAAGGCCAGTTGAACTGACCCCTGAAGTGTTCTGCCCATCGATCCAATCTCCTGGATTGAGAATGTATAATATGTTTATCTTTTTGCGAGATAGAATCACCTACAGTTCGGTTCCTAATACCGGTTTCCTTAACAAGTCTGAACAATTGTCTGCTATTACTTATTGCCGCTGCCTTTTCCATCCCTCTTGCTTTCGCTACCCACCACTGTTCACGATCATTGCGTAGACTTCTTGTGAGCTTGCGCTTAAGCTGACTCCGCTTTTCATTATGTTCAGAGCCAGGTGGAATGAGTTTCCGAGCATCTATCAGTGCGATAGATGCTGCTGAGATCCAGTGTTGCTCCCTAACCTTACGGGTTACCGTACTAGCAGATATCATTGCTGTTTCCACAGCTTTTCGGATATCATTCCATGCTGCCTCGGGGTGGGCATCACATACATGGCTGCCTAACTGTTTTCCTAGTTGTTCCTGAAATATACTCTTAACTTGACTATCATTAAGTAGGCCCCTTAAAGTTTACTTGCAGCGTCTTTCCTACGTCCAGTAAGACGCAGACAGATACGCGCTCGTACTATAGAGCATGATCTGAATCTAAGCATGTGCTCCAAAATAAGCGACAGTCTTCTGTCGAGACCCTCCATCGGTGGCTGATAGCGATGTGATCTATTTGGGTCCAACGTTGGGACGAATTAGGGGTCCATATGTTAAAAGATGTTTTCCCTTATGCTTAAAGTTAGTATTTGCAAGAAAGATGCGGTTATCTGAGCATAGCTGCAACAGACGGTCGCCATTATCTGTTCTTTGAGCCACGACACCATAATATCCACCCAGGTGTCTTTCCCTATCGCTTAGTTTACCTACTTGAGCATTAAAGTCACCATCCACTATTACTACAACCGAGCGACTAGCTTTTAGGAGGAAGTCGGAGAGCTTTCTGTAAAACTCATCTTTTACATCATCTGAGCTGCAGTCAGTGGGGGAATAGGCAGAGACGACGAAGGGGCAACGACGAGTGTCCCTATCTTTTCGGATCCTTACTGTTCCGTTCAGTCGGACAGCGCACAAACGACTGCTGGGATCCACTCTAAAAGAGCTAGTTCTGCCCTAGGACTCAATACTATACCTACGCCGGCGAGGCCACGGGAAGCAGAATCAGGGCTTCCAGATACACGAAGTGTGAATCGAGTCGGCAGCAGTACGACTTCGCCCTCAGACCTTGAGCTTCTGCTTTTAGTCTTACCGTTCTCCAATCGACCTTCCTGGCATGGTAGAACCTACAGGAACATGTGTTCTAGCTAATATAGCTCGGTTGGGTCATCACGATAGGCAAGCCCGACCACCGCGTCAAGGTAGCAGCTTCGGTCCGGCTTCCTACGAGGAGGGGTGGAGCTAGAAAAGGTCGACCCTAAAAATGCACACCTCGCCTTATCCCACGGATATCCGTCTCCGGCGGTAAGGTCTCAACAAATACGGAGCTAACACAAAACTTACTCATAAAAAGGTAGTGTGTGACCGACTTCAAGCAGTTGTCCCATGGGCATTGCGACCACGCTCTCAGGTCACTAGAACCATCTGTAACCCAATTTCTTTTTCAAGTACCTCCAGAAGAACCGTTCCACGGTGTGGGAAATCTGGAAGTGATAACCGCCCTCATCCCCTAATAGCACTCAAGATCAATGTATTCATAACCAATCTCCCTCTTCAATTCCTATTAGTCCTCCTACCTCGACTTCCAACTCTAAACTTGCTTTTTTGACTTCCTCCTCAAGTGTCACCCTGACCAACGATTCTAGTGCGCGAAACACTGTCCAGGGTCTACTGAAACCTTGCTCCAAATTACACCTTGGAGCCTTCAACGTACGCACCCTATGTCAAATCAGCTAGCAGGCCTCCTTGGCTAAAGCCCTAGGATCTCGTACCATCGATGTATGCCGTGTCTCTGAAACCCACATACGGGGTGTGGTCACTCACTTGATGCCTGACGAAATCTCTGCGCGGGTTCAGGAGGCTCGTTTGGCTTCTACCGACTCACGTCACAAGTGGAGATGGCGAGATATCCGTCTATCAACTAAGGGATGATTATACTGTGCGGCAGTCCATTTTGTCCTACTTTACGGCTACGAAACGTGGCCAATAAGGGCAGAAGATACTCGTAAGCTATTAGTATTTGACCACAGATGCCTTAGAAATATTGCTGACATCTGCTGGAATCACTGGGTAAGTAATAGTGAGGTTAGACGCCGGGTATTAGGGAAGGATGGTAAATCAGTCGATGAGGTTGTGAATCTTCATCGACTGAGATGGTTGGGCCACGTGTTACGTATACCTGAACACCGATTACCACATCGTGCAATGCTAACGGGTGTTAGAGATGGTTGGAAGAAAGTAAGGGGCGGCCAAACCAAAACGTGGCATCAGTCATTGAAGTCAATAACTTCTAGTCTGAGCCATATTTGTAGATGCAGACTACTTGTTTGGGTTCAGTGTGACTATCGTAACCAATGGTTGGAGACTCTTGGTGTATACACTCTCTGTCTTCCCCTAAACTGTGAGATTAAAATCGCTTCATATCTTTCTTTCTTCCTGTACTATATCCTTATATACAATCTTTTATATATTACCACCACTTAATTAGTTACTTCTATGAATTCGTTGTTCATCTCGTGCTAATGAGGTGTGGCACCTTTTACCGGTACACATATGTGCCTGGTCCTACGTTGTAGTTGACTGACTGAATTGCCTTCGAGCCCCATGTTCTGAAACGGAGGTAGATAAAGCACAACTCAATTTCGCAGCCCCATCCGTTGTCACGATGTGTTTTAACAGATAAATGTTTCAATACTCTCGATAAAACACCGAATAAGAATGTGTGAACAGTTTCTTACGTCACTTAGAGTTGCTCTAATTTGTGTTGATATTTGTAGGCTTTCATTTTTAATTTAATTAGGACAAATTAATGATTGAAAAAGAAAGTTAAATCATTCACTAGGCACTTAGGTGTGAGCTACATTAAGTGTAAGGACTAATGATACTATCCGGCTGCCAAAATCGAAGTAAGCAAAGCAAGTTTCGAACCAGGGACTTAGTGGTTGAAAGTCGGTGATCTTAACCAACGTCAAATTATGTGGTTGAAAACCAGTTTTAGAGACAGTTTCATTCATTTCTTAGTGAATACTAATCCCTTGATTTCTTTTTTACCTATATATTGTATTGCCCCAACGAGTATTAGTTTCTTTTTTGTTTCTTAATTGATATGTTAAATCTACGAATTTGATATTTTACTGATTTGTACCTTTCTCTAGTTATAGTGAACTATCATAAAATCTCGTCTGTAACTGAAAAGGATTTAAATTACATGATACATCTTTATTGTCATAATTGTGGCTTAGAATTAGTGAACGTGATAAAAATTCCTTTTAAAACTAGGTTTAATACTCACGATTTCTAAAATGAGCATTTTATCCCCATTTACCTAACAAACCGAATCTTTGAATTAAATAAAATTAGTCTCTTGTTACTCCTATCACTTCGTTGGCTAAAGTTGTTTTATTTTTATCAGAACAGATAGACAAAAATCAAAATAGAGCCTGGGACAGATGTGTGTGTTGACTCAAGTTGTCATACCTGATTAACGAGACGAGGCGAACATGTCTAACATTGTTAGTCGTAACCAGCCAGTTAACTATCTAACACTAAAAATCAAGTAACCACGGAGAAATTGGATTTCCACTAAACTGATTACTAGTAATCACTTTGAATCCAAGTAGTTATAATAGTACAATTGAACGATTTGTTGACTGTTCATATACACATAATGCATATTATTTATTATTCCCAAATTCATTATCCTCACTACCGTTGATATTGTTATTATTGGTCTCATTCTTTTGGTTTCTATCTTGTTAATATTCCTTCCTACTGCAATATTATGAGTTTTAGCAAGTTCATACTGTCTATGGATGAATGAATCAGTCTTTTAAAAGCGTAAAACCTAGAAAATTCAAGTAACTATTTTTGTGTAAATCTCCCTATTTATCTTTTATGTCTCATTAGTACAACTATTGTTTTCGAGGCATAGTGATTAGTGTCATGATTTACTGACCAAAACAATAGACTCCCAATCAGTAGGTCATGGGTTCGAACTCATCCTTACCTAACACAGTTTAGCGCATTATGTATTTTCACTAGCTTATACATAGAAAATGTGGGCTGCAGCTCATCATACAAACTTGTACTTAGTAAGTAATTTTTTTAAAGCGATTATATTCACATACATCATTCTAACCGTTGATGTCGATTGCTTCGTATGCCACTAATCTATCGCTGCTACATCTCTTTCTATATAGTCTAGTCAGTCTAATTTATAATTTTTGTCGTTCAACTTTTATTGTCGTTGTTGTTCTTTTCCCCCTATTTTTTCTCTTTAGCATATTCCATTTTTCTTAGAAGATATAAATGAACCAGATAATTATTTCAATATACCAATAAATTATCGTAAAGAATTTGTCAATAAACTTTATCAACATAAAATTTATTATGCATTCGCTGGTCATTTACATAAAAACATTATAGCAAATTATACCCCATTAATAATTAATGAAAATAATGATCACACCAATAACAACAATACTAATAAATCATTTTCAATGATCAGTTCATCATCTGTTTGTGTCCAATTAGGTAATGATCAACCAGGAATTCGTCTTGTGCAAATTGATACTACTAATAATAATAATGAAAATGATGACTTTCTAAAGCATGTCTATTGGACGTTGGATGAATTAGAGGAAATTTTAAACTCTGGTAAACAACCGGAAATCTAACGGTTCTTAGACATTAGGTTATTTTACAACCTTGTTTTCTTACAATGTGTAACGTCATAATATTTGTTTTTTTTGGATGGGGGCACCATGTGAGAGGACTCACGTTTGTTTTTGAGAAAAAGGAGGAAAAAAAAATAAGAGAATGTTTCTTGAAAATGATCTGTTTTTTCTTGTTTTCTACCTATTTCTTAGTTATATATGTGATGTTTGTGATTGTATTTTCTACGGTTTGTTTTAATTGCATCATTGCTCTAATCAATTGAATTGCTTGGGGTATTTTTTCGCTCTTAGTGTACTATTAATTTAATCATAGATCCAAAGTTCCAATAATTTGCGTTTAAAAGTTGATATTATTCAACTGATATATCATTTCTTCTAGACATACATATGTACATTGTTCAAAAGTAATTTGAATAATAAAGTTATATCTTATGTTTTTAGATTCTTATCTTAAATTACATACATTGCTAATGCTTCATGACCAAATCAGTATTGATGATTATATTGATGCAAAAATAATAAAAAACACAGGGTTCAAATCTGTCATCTGTCTGTTTCTAGGGTATTAATGAATTTATAACACTAAGAATTACACCCAATGTAATTTATTATCGATATGCAAGTTAGTGTATTTGATTTTAATCCATCCTTTTCGTCAATGAATATTTATCAATCCCTAGTCAAAGTAGATGGGGTAGGATTCGGATATAAAACCTAAAAATTAAAAGTTGAATATCCTAACATTCAAGTCATCATTCTACAGCATTATACTTTGTTAGTTCCAGTGTTAATTCACAACAATAATGTTAAGTTTATTAATAACTAGTGGAGATGAAGTTGATTTATCAGTAGTTACACCTTGTAGCCTAGTTGATAGAAAGAAGTTAATTAGTTAATCCCTAAGGCTAGACTAATCCTAAAAAAATTAATCAATCTGTTTGATAAATTTGTGTTAATATGAAAAAGTGTATGGAAATCCGAGTAGCGTGTTAATTGCCCATTAATAGATTGATCAAACAGAAACATCCTCATCCAGACATTTATTAAAAAGGACTAATGGTTTTACATTCTAACTGTACACTAATTATATATATGATAACCGAGTATTAGCATTATACTAATAAAAGTAATGATTTCCAAGAAAAACACTGAAAACATGTTGATCAGTTGTTGCTAGATTGGATATATGGTATTTCGATCGAAAGTAAATTTTATGGTATTTGCGTTAGAACAAACAGTTGAATTTATGAACTATATAGAAACACAGACTGAAAGAAAATTAGATGGTTTTGAATGAGCGTGATGAGTCAGTGTCCTGTTATAATCCACTTTTTTATGCTATATGTCGTCTGCCTAGGTAAGCATTCTACAAACATCCTTTAAGTACAAAGGTTAGGTTTCTAAATGTGAATTCTTATAGTTGCACAGTGTGTAAAAGACGGGCCGTTAGGTCATGCCGTAAAATTTGATGCAGTGTGTTGATTAACTTTGAAAGCTTTATTTCAGTTAACTTGGTGTCCCATATCAAGTAAGTGACTGGGAATAGAGCTCTTAATTGCCGTTAACTATTCTTTGCTTAACCAAGGCAGATGATGTTTAGTGTTACGATAAATCCCCATTTCCAATTCAACAATGAATAAGACGAACAATCTGATTGTGTAGCCATGAAATCGCCACTGGGTCTTTTTCTGACAGAGATTTATCTTACAAAACTAAAGAATAATCAGTCAACAATTAACTGTCGTATTCAGAGTAATATCTTCATAGTATTGAAAGATAATGATGAAAAAGTTACTTTATTTAACCTTGTAATTAACATTCATTCATCAATTACATTTAATTTTGATGAAAAACATAAAGTAACATCATACCACTGGGTTCTGTCTGGCTTAATTGGGTAAAAGATTGTTAGGGGCGATTAAAAGTTTTATTCTCTATCATTTAACTGGCGAAAGATGTCAAGCTGACTTAAATAAAACTTCTATCCATCATATTCCATGAAATAACTTGATCTCTTTTTGCTGATATATGGTGTAACAATTTGATCTAATTCACATATGTATCAGTAATTACATTGGTTACAACTGATATCTGATAAGTAAATTAGTCAAAATCTACTTTTTATAATAACCAGTTAAGATAGATCTTTTACTATATTTGTTAGTCACGAAACTCACCTCACTAATCATATATTGATCATCTCGTAAATTCGATCTACAAAAGCTTATTTATTATTTTATTTATTTTAACACATAGATATTGGTACAAAGAGGCACCAAATACATATGCGCTACACAAATCTCATTCGATATGTGTGAGGGCTGTGATACTACCCGGGTGCCCGAACCGAAGCAGGTGGTTTTCTTTGGGAGCCACCCTCCAAGCCTTCGATCTGAAGGTCTGATCCACAAGGCAGTAGAGCATCGTAAGGAAATGCAGTCCCATGGAAGCCGGTGACCATTAATTAGTTCATACGCTATTCGTTCCTTCAGGATACTGGAGCCCATGTGCACCATTTGTTTGGAATCCGGTTAAAGCGACGGACATTTTCGTCCTCTCACTTTCGTAAACAACACCCCCGCCACGAGAAGGCAGTGAGTAGGACTTCCCTGTCAGTGGCTGTATACGCGTGGCCATGAGAGAAGATTTGGAGAGGGAGAGCTGACTCTCCCCACTCTCGGCCATACCAGGGCATTTGTTTGTATGATACTGGATACTTTATGGTTGGGTATAACTTAACATCTTATAGAATAAAAATGAGTTAATGGACACTCATTACAATTTTCTTCTGGTTTATTTAAAAATAAGATTTATGTATTTTAAATTATTCTATTACCATAATTATTCACTGAGTTTTTCATTTGTTTTAGCAAACTAATTCATTAAAAATATTCGCTTAATCAACATTCTCATGATTAAATGGAATAAATTGATGTTCACTTATAAAGTTTCCAATTTAATGAAAACTTTCGTTACAAATAATTCATCAATAATAATACCTGTTGGATTTGTTCGGTATTATTCAATTTCGTTTAGTATTAGAATGAATAGTACTACTATTCAAACTTATAATAGTAGTCGCTTAATTTATAGAAATTTATCATTTACTACTAATTTATATCAACCATTATCACAATCATCATCGACATCAGTAAAACCGAAAGATCATCAAACCAATTTAAGTTTGGGAATTTTTCATCCAAAGAAGAAACGTGTAGATAAAGTGAGTGTAATATATATGTACATATATGTATACTTGTTTTAATGGAATTATTATGAACTGACTAAAAAGAAAATTATTTATTTCGGTTATTTGAATGATTCACAGGATGTTTATTGTAACTTCATTAAAATTGACGACTAAATCGGATATAAAATTTTAGCTTTGATCAGTAGTCTAAATGAAAACCAGGTTTTCTTTATCATGCCCTTGAAATCAACTAATTAAAATACATGATGTGCTTGTCTATGTTCTACACATAAGTATGAAAATTTTCTTTAAAAGATAAACATTAATAATTCCCGACCGAAGCTGCTACCTTGACGCGGTGGTCGGGCTTGCCTATCGTGATGACCCAACCGAGCTATATTGTCTGGAACATATGTTCCTGTAGGTTCTACCATGCCAGGCAGGTCGATTGGAAAACGGTAAGACTAAAAGCAGCAACTCAAGGTCTGAGGGCGAAGTCGTACTGCTGACTGTAGAGGGGTGTGACAGCAGTAAGGTGTTTCCCTCGGACAACCAGCATGACAGCGATGCTGCCTTCCCACTAGGAGGGGTGGGGTTAGGAAAGGTCAACCCTAAAAATGTCACACCTCACCTGACCTCACGGATATCCGTCTCCGGCGGTAAGGTCTCAACAAGTACGGAGCTAGCACAGAAATTACCCATAAAAAGGTCGTGTGTGACCGACTTCAAGCAGTTGTCTCTTGGGTATTGCGGTCACGCTCTCAGGTCAGTAGGACCACTTGTAATCCGATTTCCTTTTCAGGCACTTCCGGAAAAACCGTGCCACGGTGTGGGAAATCTGGAAGTGATAACCATTCTCATACCACTAACAGCACTCAAGACCACTGCATTCAAAATGACTGACTGACTGACATTAATAATTCGTCAATCTACTCAGCAGGTTTTTTTTGAATATGAGATGTAACCACGTTTTCATGGTGGAGTTTTATTTTTTGTTACCATTATACATCGTAATTCTGTAAAGGGCTTTCAACTCTCAGGTTTTATTTTATAATTATTTGTAACAATTCTTAACCTCGTAACGCGAATTTCATTAAAATTACAGATCATTTAATGTATAGTTTGCAGTGTTCTCATCAAAACCATTTTGTTTCGATAACGATATTAAACAATAGAGAATTTGTTAATTCTTATTGTTCTCATCAAGGTCAATGTTGAACCCCATTAAAGAATGTCATAAAGTTATATAGTTCAGATCCTATGTCATCACACTATTTGTAGTAACGCCGCATTCTCCTACATTTCATTATCGACATGTATGATTAAAACCTAATGTTTATGGAAAAAAATGGACAAAGATGTATACCAGGCACTGGTGTACACAACCTAGTCTTCAACGATGCAAAACCAGGGTAATAAAAGAATAATTTATTGATTCCAAATCTGGAATAATAAGACATGACAAAGATTTATAAATCAAACGAAAGCTTATAAATACGATTCTATAAAATCGTTGACTAATTATACAATAGAAATATAAGTAGTATAATAGTCTTGAGAGTTATACCTCCGTACTATTCATCCCAGTATGTTAGTGTTCGAATGAAAAAGGGGAAAAAGCCAACTGAATATAGAAATAGCGCAATCAATAATTAAATAGGATGTCGAATTATGTTTGGCAGTAAGATGATTTCTGATGACGATGATTAAGTAAAAAACATGAAGCAGGTTTGTGTGCACATCAAACTTATGAACAAAATCTGAATACAGCACACATTTTACTTAGATCCAGTGATTCAGTGACAAGACACTAGCTACTAAAACTGATGGCTCTCTGACTAAATAACTGAAGGACTCGTCTGTATTAAAATTTTGACTAGTTAGTAACTACGATTGTGAATTAATTTTAAAAATCTCTTTTGTTTGTTTTCAAATTCGCCAATTTCTGTGGTAGAGTAGATAAATTCTGTTGCCCAGTCTAAAAATGATCATCATACACTTGTGTACAAGATTTACTAGTGTTTTGGTGTCAGTTTAGTTAATTAAATTACCACTTATGGATGAAATTCTATAGTCGCATCAAAATTTGATTTTTGCATCGTCTAAGTGTATTCATATTATATACTGTTTATCAAATGAATAATCATTACATTGGCCAGGGTTATATTTTTCCAATCTTTAGTACTGATCTAGTTTTACCGATCAAGTTCCAGTAATCTAAGTGGTTCAACATTGCGTTCACTATATTGTAATGTTCGTATAGCTTAGTAATAGCGTCCTGAAGAAGAGCACTAAGTGATACAGGTTCAGACCACATGGTTACAAGTTTTTTCCAAGCATCACTGACGAGTGACAGATAGCATAGAAGGGCTGGACAAACATGACACTAGTCATTACTCACTAATTGATTAATCGTAAACCTCTTAGTCGTACGATGGACCGGTCTCAACCCGAATAGCACAATCGTAACGTCCCAGACTGTGGGACCGTGTAACGCGGTTTTGAATCCACTAAGGAAAATCAGATTCTTATAGATTGCAAATATGCCTTACCGAAGAGTGCTGGCTAACATGAAACCTTGATCCAGAGTTCCCTGCTAGCTCCAATCGTCTAATATACTGCTTATTGACACTATACTCTTATCTAATCGTTTCCTATTATTTTATTTGTTTTAAATTATCATCTTGTATATACAGGAAATAGTTGACTTAAAACAATCCGGATTTTACGATATCTCAGGTTATGGTTTTGCACAGTACACTAATTTAAAAATGCTCCACTCTTATCTTTCCAAATTTGATCATCTGTACAAATTCCCTACATTACCATCGGAATTATCATCAGAAGTATTGTTAGTCTCTCAATTATCTAAAATAGATACGGAAAATATTAATCCATGGGATGCATTTATTTTCAAGTAAGTGTGTTTGTGTACGTGTCTTTGTTTATGTGTAGCATCTACTCATGGTTATACTCACCGACCATTGGATAGCAATCGTTAATCTCACTATTGTCTGATTGATCTCTTTGATGTGTGATGTTGTAAATCATCGGAGGTAGTTGGTAGATCGTCTAATATTTAGGGCTTTTTTACATTGTAAGGGTCCTTATTGTTGATGTCTACAACAAAAGACAAAAAGGACAGGCACTAGATTGAGTCACGGTTATTACTAAAAGATGACAATTCTGCTCAAATCAAAGGTATGATTTACGAGCACAACTCATTTGCTAACAGTTGAGTGCTGATATACCACAAATCCATAGTTATTTAGCCAGGTGTTGCATTTGAGTATGTTATGTCTGTTGAATACTGTAAAATTGCAACGTGACTGAACTGAACGACTCAATTAGAGAAAATGACTGACAAACCTCATTCACAATACATCTGATTGTTCCTTGATCCTAGACACTAACAATTAAGAGTATAAAATAACTTCTAAAGTAATTCGTTGCTTTTATTGATGATAACATGGTTAAAAGTGTATGTTCTGTTATTGATGTTCAGAACTGAATTTTGACTCGTCTTTGTTGGCATACATTCCTTCTATGCGGTTGGCCTCAATTTAACCATTTTGCCTCAAGTTTTCTTTTGAGATGAATAGTTTGTGGCTAGCAGTGAAATTCAGAACGAACGTTTAGTTTTATTTATAACTTGTCAGCCTGATGTGTATGTATCTCACTGTTGATGTTCACACTAGGACTCGAACCACTACCTTTTGATTTGGACGCTAAACCGTTATACAGTGAGCTACTGAGTCTATTGAAAGTTAGGAATATTAAATGGTCGTTTCTCAATGTTTCAAATTCATTCGAGTAGCGTAGGGCGCTTGTGGAACCTAAACTCTGAATTGAGGATGTTCGGCTACTCTGTGTTCTATCACTGTTGTTTTGAAAAGATTACTGGGAACCAATGTTAACACTATGTTAGTAATGTCGAGGTCTGGCAATATGTATTCGGGCTCAGTGATAATAATTCAACTAGTATCACCAGCTTGAAATGTATACTTTGATAGCTTAGTCGTAGTTCACGAATTTCATCGTAACGACTTCCTCATCATACACTATTTTTCGATGTTGACATGGTGCAAAGAGTTGAGAGGCGGTCAGCTTATGACATGATACTGTTGTGTGAAAGATAGTTATATACGACTATGATTGGTTAGCTCATCACGACCCCACTATTGGGGTCCATGAGATGGTGAGATTCAGTGACCTGAGACAATATCAAATATAGCTAACAGCAATCCTACCATGGTTCTCTATTGCTCTTCATGATAGTCAAATAAGGTTAATTCACCGATTTTTTTTCCTAGCTATATTTTCAACCGAACTGTAAATTATTTTTTTCATTTCTTCATTGATTGTACCATCATGATATTAGGAGATATTCGAATTAATATACTAGCCTGAAACTCCCAGAAGTTTCTGATTCAAGTCAGATAGAACTGGATAAGCACAACTGAATTTACTTTATTTGCAAGTCGTAATAAGTGCGAAACAATCTACAAAAGAATCATTACTACATACAAACATCATAACTATTATTCTCCTACATTTCTTCACATTATTATTTCATTAGTGAGGTGTATATTTTTTTGCATTTCTTATTGAACCAATTTTGTGTGACTAGGAATTTTGGGCTGTTTACATTTAAATAATTCGCAGCTGCATTTGTGCTTCATCACAGCTAGTTATAACAGCGTTTAAGATTGTCTCAATTACCATAATTGAAATTTGATGTGATAGTATTTGAACAGTAGTATTGAGGGAAATTTAACCCACAATGAGAGTAGCTTGTTTCTCTCAAAAATACTGATATAACTACTGTGATCGAGTTTTGAACGAAAATTGATTCAACAATAGTTACCACGTGTTTTCTTTTATTTCGATTAGAAGATTTTTCCTAGCCTCAATATCAAGATAATGTAACACAGTTTATCATGCGAATTTTCAACCGCATCTTTCTTTTTTCAGTATAACGAAAAGTATATTCAGCTGTTATATCTTCCTTTTTTTTACACTTTCAGTAACGGAGTGGCTGTGTTTTGGAATATGCCTGAGGAAAATGTAAGTTCATCGGAGTTTTTTTCTCGTCGTACATTTCCTTTCAAGATTTCTTTTCCTTTTTTTTCAAAAGACTCATTCACTGTTTACTGCACATTTTCTTTCTGTTTATCTAAAATTCATAATCGAAGGAATTAACAATTAAATATTGACACTTAATTGTCGAATAATCATTCAACGTTAAGTTAATGGTTAATAGTTTTGTTTTTGGAATATTTCTAGTTAGATAATCATTAAAAGAATCATATAACATTGTTTGACACTATTTCTATCCTAGTATACAACTTTTCAACAGTATTCCTCCGTGACCTCAACAAGAATCGAACCCAAAACTTTTAGATTTCATTGAAACCACGCTATCTTTAGACCAGTGAATTCTAATGTTAATATTAGAAAAAATCATTTTAGGCTATTGAATAGAGCATGTCTAAGATTAAAACAATTGTTAAGAAAGGAATCAAATAGGAGATTGTTGTTTAATTTTTGTACCAGTATTTTTTGATAGAGAGCAGTAATTTAAGTATAAGTTAATTGAAGTTACTAACATTTCATCCATTGAAATTAATTTCAAATAAGCCCATATTTTATCAGAAGGGGTTTTGGGGAGATTTTAGTAATCTCAATAGTTGAAATCATGGGTCAATTGAAGCTAGACCACCATGGAAATCTTGGAAGTACTGGACAGCCGTTTCATCCTATTGTGGGACTTCTCAACAGTGAGCATCCACGATCCCGCCCCCCAGCGAGATCCGAACCCAGGACCTATCAGTCTTGCGCGCGAGCGCTTAACCATTAAACCATTGAGCCAGCATCCGACGGTGTTACTGTCTAACTTCAACCAATCCACGAAATCACTCCACCATACACCATTGTCTTCAGTGATGCACACTGCTGAGGAGTCCCACACTGGGACGAAACGGTCGTCCAGTACTTCCAGGTTTTATATGGTGGTCTAGCTTCAATTGATTCATGATTTCAACTATTAAAAGACCATATTTGTCATAATTTTATAGTGTACACTTCAATTAATAATTCTGTTGTTAATCCGGTCACTGATTAAATAATTCACATTAGTTACTGAATACTAGTAATATCAAGTAATTATCCAATTAGTTCTTTGTTTTTATTGATTACTTCTATGGTGATATCAATTTGAAATAAAAATTGTATTCACACTTGTTGATGACCCATAGTCAATTACTTTGAAATATATCCTTATTGAACAGCTTAAAAATACTTATCTGTATTTATTTATAGAAAATCTGAATTTCGTTCCCGATTTGGAGTTTTTAATACTATAAGTGGTATAATTGTAGATATAGCAACACATTAGTTACAGTTCATACGCTTCAACAATGTCCGAAGTTATATGTTGATTACGTTTGGCTAGAATTAAATTTGATGACTTGTATTTCAATCAGTTGTTTGAAGCTGATCAGCCGAACATATCTGAGTGTAGATGATTCTTGCTACAAGAGTTGTATCATAGTTTCTACAATAAGATTAAATCACGATAAGATCATAAGCGACATTAAGTCATTTTTACAAGGAGTTTGTACGTATTAAGAGTTTCAACAAATATTTATGACAAATCCTAAATTTTAATAACAGTTGTTAATTGTTAAACCAATAGTGGCGAAAATAATTCAATAACGGTAGATTTAACCCATTGATATTGTAACCAATGAATATTAGGCCGAAGATTCGCCTGAAGCAATTATACTCACTAGGATCCATGTACATTCGTCCGACATATCACTGTATATAATATTATATATATTTAAATAGTAGAATCTGATAATTTCCGTAGATATCCCGTTTGGTTTACGCCCGATTATGTTATATAGATTGTATATGCAGAGTTACTCTTAGTGTTTCCGGTAAGAGGGCCGAACAGAAACCCGCACGTGAACGCTTAGCCTCTAGACCACTAAGACGGCATCCAACAGTTTTAATGTCTAACTTTAATCGATACATGATCTTGCTCAACCCTTCATCCATTGTCTGAGGTGAATAACTGTCTCATATCATTAATGTTTGAATTATCATTAAATTGTTTGTTTATAAATAGCATTTCTTTAAACATAGGGTGTTTCGTGGATATAAAATTCATTTTAGAATTCATTTTGTAGAGTTAAATAGTTATGTCTAACGCTTACATGTTTATTGTACTATATTCTTTGACAATACAAGCCTATACTTGTCATTACCATTGATTTGCATTTTTATGACAACACAATTGTGATACAGTATTCAAAGATTAATTCTAACAGCCGAAGAATGAATAACCTACAGATTAATTTCCTTCTATTGCTTATAACATTTTATCATGTTTATTTTGTATATAAGCATGTTCTTTTTATTACATGAAGAACTATTCATCTGGCTAGTTATCTTGTTTTTGATTTTTAATCATTCTGGGGGCCTAAATGAATTATACAGTCTCGTGTGTAACCATCACTTGGCCACACATCATATCATTGAGTTCATCTATCGATCAGCATTCCATTCATTGATTTTAACAGTGGTCATTTCGTCTAATCAAAACACAAAAAACCTCCTCTAACATATTCGTAACTAAAAAAAACTCTTCTCTGTCATATGTTAAGTAATTGCAAGCTCATTGACAGCATGTTCCAATAATTACTAAGTATGTACAAACCGTACATTGATTAGTTTTCTAACGATTTTCTTCAATTATCATATGTCATGCAAAGTATATTCTAACGTTGTATTTTGTAACTAACTGAATGACTGTTAAAAAATAAACTTTATCTATAAGATACCAATGACATGGTGTCGTGGCATAAAAGAAAGCTGCAAAGGACTGACTTCTGTTGGTCCTTCACGACTCCCCGGTCGGGGTCCGAGAGATGGTGCTACACAGTGGCTAGAGACGTTATCAGATATGGCTCAGAATATAAGCCAATGGCGATCCTGCTGTAACCTTCTTTTACTTTCTCCATAAAAAGTGGTTGTGTCTCCCTTACCTGAAATATTTCTTCCGATTGTACCTTTCCGTTCCCTCATTACTACCACACTACCTTACACCAATCTCTTCGTTATTGTTCTCTTTTTTTTGAGCTCTTTATCTGTTTTTTCTTTTTTCTCTTCGTATTCTCATTGTTTTGTGTGGCGCATATATATTGGCACTCTCTTGTACCAATATTTATGTGTTCAAATAAATAAATAACACTATAAATTAAACAATATTTAATAACCTTAAATTTACCAATCTGACATTCTTTCACTCAATGTATACATAGTTTAAAGTATGATCTCATGTCATAATTGAGGTGACCTTGGTATATTTTTCTGAAATTCATGTTTAATATTGTCATAGATTTCGTTACCATTTAACTGAAGAATATATATCGGTATCTTATATATATTCATACTTTACTAAATATTTAGCATCAATTATTGTTGAAAGAATTTCGTCAGTTCAGTGAAGGAATTTTAGAAGAGAATCTAATTGAACGTGAAGATTTAAGATATTGTTTAACCAAGTGAGTATATTGTTATTTTTTTCTTTTAACTCATTTTCCATTTGATATGTACATCAATTAATTGTTCAACCTTGATTGGTAATTTTAACAATTAAATAATGTGACTGACTTCGAGAGGCATATCCTGGAGTTCTAGTGAGAAACCGTGACCAGTGAATTTCAACCAGGTCTGTTGCGAGATATCAGTTCACTGAAAACAATGGTGGACAGTGGAGCGATTTCGTGGATTGGTTGAAGTTAGACAGTAACACCGTCGGATGCTGGCTCAATGGTTTAATGGTTAAGCGCTCGCGCGCAAGACTGATAGGTCCTGGGTTCGGACCTCGCTGGGGGGCGGGATCGTGGATGCTCACTGTTGAGAAGTCCCATAATAGGATGAAACGGTTGTCCAGTACTTCCAAGATTTCCATGGTGGTCTAGCTTTAATTGACCCATGATTTCAACTATTGATATCACTAAAATCTCCCCAAAACCCCTTCTGAAAATATATTTACACAGTTTGTAAAGGTTTGTAATTTTCTTGTCAATGTTGAAGATTGTAATTGATCAATTTTTGTTGTCATTTGTACATCATGAATAGATTGGGTTGATATTATTATTTAACTATGATTTCCTATTAAAGTTGGATGGTGACTAGCGGTGTCATCCAAAACTCTCTTGTCATATTTGATGATCGATTAGAGATGAATATACCTTCAGCACAGTGCTGATTTTCACACTGCGACTCCTGATCCAATCCCTTTCGTTTTGAAAACTTATGACGAAATAGAATTATAGAGTTAATCCTTTACAGATGCACATATATAAAAAAAGACTGATCAATTGGAGACTTTAACATCAACAACGATAAAAACATATTTAGACAATAGGTATCATTACTGATGTTTAACTTGATAATTTCAAATAAATTGAGCCTTGGATAAATTGTTATTCTATTTGTAATATCCTAATGAGTAGAAAAATTAAATTAACCCAACTTTAAATAGTACAAAGGAACACTGAAAAAATTGAATATGATCAATGAAAAATAAAACAGGTCAATGTTATGTCACTCCAGTCAATTTGATTTATGTGACATTTGTAATATAAAAGGATAGAGTTGAATTTGTATGTATGATAATAGTGTGTGATATCTGAATAGAATCAGACATGGTGATTCAAGTTTGATGGATAATACGGCTTTTTTTTCTATTGGGGGCCGTTGGATTTAGCAATATATGAAAAGCTTCTGCTACTTGTCTTTCTTCATAGCTGGGAAAGCCTTTTTGTATTATTTTGATATTTTTAACATTGACTTGATAGTTATTGAAAATGGCATGGACTGTTGTTGCCGATTTGATTTGGAGTCTTTCCAGTTCTACAGAATTATGAGGCGATTTCTTTGTGTACCTTAGATGCTACCTGGATCGAGTCAAAATTTCACGGGATGACTCTTCAATATATAGAAGAGATCACAATCAATACATCACAGTACTGTGTTGACATAAGGAGGATCTCATCCTTTATGTGAATCAAAGCATTCCTAACGGTGTTGGTTGTTTTGTAGTATGATTTAATTCTGTATTGTTTTAAGATTCTTTGGAGTTCTTCTGTTGTGCTGTGGCGGTATGGTGAAACTACACTACCAATTCATGGTATTTCATTCGAATTATTATTTAGCAGTAAATCATATCGTTTTACTGCATTTTTAATAATCTTAATGGGAAAATTATCAAATTGTAAGATGTTTAGACAATATTTAAAATATCTCTTTTAACGATGTGCAATTGTATATCGTATTCATTAAATAACTGATGATTGGCTTAATGGCTTAATTGGCTTATTACTTTGAGCATTATAAATATCTTATTGTATATCATTATTTTTATACTTCACAAACTAACCTTTAGATAGATTTGACTTATTCTTGTTAACGGTGTACATAAATGAATTATCTCTGAATAAATCATATTGGTTGATTCTCTTGGATGAACGAAAGGATTGACCACGATGAACGACTGACTTTTCTAACTCCGGTGAAGGTAACGTGATAGACGAATACTGAGTTGGTTATATATTCCATCTTGTTCTCGAAATCGTTCCTTCAATAAGCTCTCTCCTGCTTGGGTTTGGGCACCCGGGCAGTATCACAGCCCTCACACAAATCAAATGAGATTTGTGTCGCGCATATGTATTTGGTGCCTGCTTGTACCAATATCTATGTGTTCAAATAAATAAATAAATAAGCTCTCTACAGAGCCAATAAACAAACTACATGAGGTATAATGGCTGTATGAAATTTAAGATGTATATATAAGTGGTCGACATTGGACTACATGAACTATTTAGCTAAAAAATGTCACTATCTACTTATCTGTTATGTGATCAGTTTGTTTAGTTATAAATACACATTAGCTTTAAGTATATTTATTCGATAGTTGACAACGCGAATTCCCACTCAATCATTAATTCCTCTATCTACTTAAGCTTGTCGAGGATCGAAAGCTCGTTCTAATAACTCAACTAGATAATAGATTGTATTCATTCTATGATCGAATTAGTTTATTTAAATTAAGTATTTTCATTTGACCAATATCATTCCTTTTTTTCATAGTGATCATACCCGTGTTGTCGGTGAAGACATTTACTTACATATTCCATCATTCGAAGATGTGTCACGTCACACAGAACAACAATCGCACAAAGTGAGGTATAAAAAATGTTGTTTGTATGGTATTAATTTTTAATTTATTAGGATCTAACATTACAAGACCAATATCCAAAGGTAGCATCAACTTCTTTGACTGACGATAATTCACTGTTGGAAAAATTTGCATTTTCTGATGCTTTAGCCTTGTCAGGTAGGCCTTTTTTCCTTCTTTAGATTTTATTTTAAAAAATATTTCCTTCATTTGAGATTATGAACTGATCAATGTTAGACCACCGTTGGAAATCTGGAAGCACTGGACGGCCATTTCATTTTACTATGGAAATACTCAGCAGTGCGCACCCACGATCTCACAATCGCGGCTCAAACGTAGGACCTTTTGGTCTCGCGCGTGAAATATGAACCTCCAGACCATTCAGCTGGCATCCAATGGTGTTAATGTCTAATTTCAACCAATCCACGATATTGTGTGGCCATCTTCCATTGTGTTCCATAGATAACTGCCTCACATCTGGCATTGATCCGTTCATGATCTCAACAGTTCCTTTCATTATTTATTGTTATTGCATGGATAAAACTAAGTGTTGTTATTTTTAATCAATCTATGGTTTCATAAAAGAAATTATTTTATCCTATAATTTACTGAGGTTGTATGCATTATTGGCTGCACTGTTAGACGTTATGTGTTGAAATCTTAGTGTTATAAATTGAATAAGTATCACACTAATGACATTGAATGTTAACTGCATTATATCAGGGATTTACTAAAGTTTAAAATGCTGTAGACTATTAAGTTTTTCGTTTAAAATAAGTTTAAATTCACTGTCCGTAAATCGTGAACAACTAAAGTTACCTGAATGAGGTTCATACAGTTATCATAACTAACTAGTTGGAGACATTCATTGATATTGTCTAGAATGAATAATAATGAAACAGATTCATTCACTTTTTGTCCTCCATTAGATCTTAAGTTTTTAAATTATCTTATGCTGTTTTTAATTCCTCAAATTTGTACTTTCTTCGCTAACCATCAAATGAATATGACACGTTTCAACTTTATTCATATTGTCTTTGTCTATTATTTTCCACTATCACTGGTACTTTTGTTATTCTTCTACTACTCTGATATTTATCTTGACATTATGAGTTTCTAATTTGATATTCTTTTTGTGATTTAAATCAAGAATCAATGATTTGATGACAGATTTCTCTTTTTTCGTCTCAATGTTATTACATACTACTTTTTGTTATTTTATAGCCACCTTATAATTTCACGTATATACTACACATTGAAATTTGCTCATTACATAATAATGGCACTATCTACCTTCTCAGATCTCAGTAAATATGATGATACATATTTAAAGCTGCAATCTATTGATTATAAACTATAGTGTTTAGATTCAATTCACTTATTTACTTACGCCTGTTACCCCTCGTGGAGGAGAATAGACTGCTACCAGCATTCTCCATCAAACTCTATCCTGGGCAATTCTTTCCTGTTGTTATTCATCCTTTTGATGTCTGCTTCCAATTCTCGACGAAGTGTATTCTTGGATCTTCCTCTTTTTCATTTCCATTCAGGACTCCAAGTTAGGGCTTGCCTCGTGATATAGTTTGATGATTTCTTCAATGTATGTCCTATCCACTTCCATCGTTTTTCCCTAATTCCCTCTTCAGCTGGAAGTTGGTTTGTCCTCTCCCACAGTAGGCTGTTGCTAATGATATCCGACCAAAGGACATCCAGTATCTTGTGTAGACTATTGTTTATAAATACTTGTAATTTTTTGATGATGGTTGTAGTAGTTCTCTAAGTTTCACTTCAGTACAAAAGGACTGTCTAGATATTCCTATTAAAGATTCTCACTTTGATATTGGTTGACAATTGTTTTGAGTTCCATGTGTTCTTCAACCAATAGTTTAAATATCCAAGTAGAGATTATGTTTTTAATATGAGTTATAACTACCGTGTTGATCTTTATTGTTTGTTTATATAGAGAATTAAGTCACTGGTTCATTCATAATAGACAATGATTCATAGTGTATTTTTAAAAATTGTATTTGATTGTAGAATAATGATTTTCTTCTGTGAACATTTAATTAATTTTTATGGTTTTCACATTTTTTTAAACTGCACATCATAATGTGTTTAGTGAAACTCTCTCTATTAGAGAATGGATTCGATACAGCAGTTGTTGAAATTGAACCATGGATCGAAGTAAGTGACTAGTTGATTGTTAATACTTTCTTTTTTTCATGCTTCTTATTTTGATTACTCAGCTACCTTTTTTCCCCGACCGAAGCTGCTACCTTGACGCGGTGGTCGGGCTTGCCTATCGTGATGACCCAACCGAGCTATATTGTCTGGAACATATGTTCCTGTAGGTTCTACCATGCCAGGCAGGTCGATTGGAAAACGGTAAGACTAAAAGCAGCAACTCAAGGTCTGAGGGCGAAGTCGTACTGCTGACTGTAGAGGGGTGTGACAGCAGTAAGGTGTTTCCCTCGGACAACCAGCATCTGCAGCGATGCCGCCTTCCCACAAGGAGGGGTGGGGTTAGAAAAGGTCAACCCTAAAAATGTCACACCTCACCTTACCTCACGGATTTCCGTCTCCGGCGGTAAGGCCCTTTGGAGAACGGAGCTAACACGTCAAAAACCTTCCACAAAAAAGCCTCAAGCAGTTGTCCCTTGGCCTCTGCGGTCACGCTCCCAGGTCTTTAAGACCAACACTAATCCAATTTCCTTTTTAGGTTCCTCAAGAAATACCCTTCCACGGTGTGGACAGCCGGGAAGTGATATCAGCCCTGACACCCGTAACGGCTATCTTTTTTCTCGATTCGAACTCTTTATTGTTTTATTAATTTGCATTCAATTTATCAGTGAAAATAACTAGGTATTCGGTTTGTAGATTGAATACATTATAGATCGACCTTAGTTGATGTATCGGTGATGACCAAAGAGATAAATCCCTAGCTATTCCGTCTTTCTTTGGAAAGGCCTACGTATAGTGTGCACTCATAACATCTTCAAGGAGTGAACACAATGTGTCCAAGTTTCGTGATGAACGCCTAACTGTTAAACCATTAGGTTAGCATTCAATTGTGCATCTTTCTAGCTTCAACCAACTCGGGATTATTTAATGACTTTGGTAACAACTGTTTTTGTTTCCGACTTATCTAGACTCTGTCAGTTACAACTTTACATTCAAATTACAAAAAACTCGTCTCGAAGTAAATCGCTAATCAAAATACTATTGTACTTTTGTTAAACGGAATTTTTTACGGAGATTATCACTTATATATGAAAATAATATTCAAAAAACTTTTAACAAAATTATAGGTATCAGAAGGGGTTTTTTGTGGATATTATAATAATTTTAATAGTTGAGATCATGAGTCAATCGAAGCTAGACCATCATGGAAAACCTGGAAGCACTGGACGACTACTTCGTCCTGTTGTGGGACGACTCCTCAGCAGTACATATCCACGATCCCGCCTCATAAGATTCGAACCCAGGGTCTATCGATCTCGCTCACGGATGCTTAACTTTCAGGCCACTGAGTCGTCCAGTGCCTCCAGGTTTTCCATGGTGGTCTAGCTTCAATTGACTTATGATCTCAACTATTAAAAAAACTATATGTATTTAACGCTTGTAAAGTTGTTTAAGTAAATAACTATAATCACATTCATGTGACTAGATTGAACTGCATGAATTTCGTCTTCTATTTCAAATTCTTGTCAATAATAAATTTGGTTTCTTAGGCGAATATAAAAAGAGAAAATCACAACTATTTCTTTTTCGAAAGTGAAAGTAGTATTTCAGGAATCATTTTGTTAATGATTATCAAAGTTAAATTCAACTGATGTATCTTATCTTAGAACAATAAAACAATGTACTGAACAAAATGAAGAAAAATAAAGTGATAAATTATAATAAAAGTAGTAACGATCTCATTTGGTCAAAAAAAAAGAAATTTTGAATGAAGTAATGCAAACTTATTCATGAAACATTCAACCATAACATTTACAGAATAATCTAGAGAATCAGTGTATAGTTATGACCATCCAATCGATTTTGTGTCATAATATCATTCAATGAGTATTATGTAGGTAGGTATCAATTTGATAGTTTATATTTATCAGTGAATATCGACCAAACCAATGTATTCAATCAGTTCACTGAAATTAATGTTATGTGTTCGTGTAGTAACCGTTAATACTGAACGTAACTTGATCATTATATTGTTTGTATTTTCAAATCAAAACATGGTTATATTTTTGAATATTTTTAATTAATGTATAAGTGAATTTTGTTGTGATGGTTGGTGTCCAAAATCTGATACTGATACACGTGTTGCTATGCCCTAACCCCCAACTGACTACTTGAGCGGGAACACAAGAATAAGCGAAAAAGTGCATTGGAATACCGAATAAAATGCACAAATATCCATTCATATATATATACAACCACACAATTCTTAAGAAATTGACCCATTTCTCAGCCAATGAAATGCATTTGTCCTTTAGGTCACTTCTGATTACCATCAAATTGACCTTCTCAATGAGTTACTTTTGACTGGTTCTCCATATCAAATTTCTTTTGATGTTTTGTAATCGCATTTAACCATTCAGTCAGTTAACATTTGAAATTCTATCTTCACTATTAACATGAACCTGTAAAAGTTGTTTTATTCTCTGAAAATGCAAATTATATAAAATTAAGAAAAAAAATCTTTCTATTCAGTTGAAATATTCGAAATAATTTATTATCGAAAATATTTTTGAATTTTTGTAATGATGACCATGTTTTTGAGTTGTCAAGACAAATCAATCAACTGACGACTAATCCAGGATATATAATAATGATTTAATGTTGTCGATTTATTGTTGCTAATACGATCGATCCAAATAAAATGAGTATCGAAAGATAACGTAATTAATCAATGTTATATGCCTTTAAGAATTCCTTGATAATGTCTTTAGAAGTTGAGAAAGAAGCAAAATGTTTTTGTCTATTCATCATTTAATGGAAGCTCCTAAGAAATTTCTAGAAAACTGATAGATTGTGTGTCATAATCTTGTTGAATAATCAACCATTTCGTTACTAAATGTAATCTATTTTTGTAATCCTCCAGAATCTCAAGGCCACACGTAGGCCTATGAATATCCTTGTTTTCTGTAATTAACTGTAATTAATCTTGGAAGAAAAGCTCCGTTTTGTACTTCTCTTCAAAGCACAAGTGTAGGAAAGTTCTACATTCAAGTACCGGACGTATCAACCAGTAGAATGATGTTTAAACACAAGAATAAACATGATTTCAAGTTATTTTGAAAGATAATTTATTAGAAGCTACGAGTTTCGTAGATCATTCAAAGACTATTACGATTAAGACTTAATTGTCAGTTATTACTCTCTCCATTTCGGGATCATTATTTGCTGTAGAAAATTTGTCCAGGGACTAGTTATGCACAGTAACTTGACAATTATTAGCTTAAATCATTAAAGCGGTAATTATAACCTTTTGTGTTTATCGTCGTTTTTGTAGAAGATGAAAACAGGTCGTGGTGCTAGATTCCGTCAATCTGCAGTTTTACGAAAAACTGGTGAATTGTACACAATTAAGTAAGTTGAATCATTCTCTCCCTTGCTTCTTATGGTTTGAGGCATCGATGCGGTAGTTGTATGATATGATATTTTCTAGAGGTTTACTATTCAACTGTGAGAGTTTTTAAAATCATCAACCTAGGATGCTTTATCAACATCACTTTTTATGGAACGAACACATAAATATCCTGCGTATATGTACCACCTGTATCCCATAAATGAATATTGTTTTTCCAACTAAGCTTAAAAATTATATTCATAATGTCCAGTCAAATACCAAGTTATAGCAGAGATATTTTCTCAATAAGTACCAGTTATTATTTTAAAAAATTTTGGGTTTCATCATATAATGTGAAATAATTTAACTCATATTACCATATTCATGTTAGATATTTAAAGAATTAGTACTCTGTGACAAGAATCTAGAATATCTTAACTGAACAAATAAGTGTTGGAAACTCTAGCGTCTAAAATAATCAGTCCTGATGGACTAGTTTGTTACAAAATCTTGGCATCTATTCAGAAAGCTCAGTTAGTTTTTATCAACTCCCATCACTTATGAGATAGACGATGTCCGTCTTCCAACTAATGGAGTTGTACATTTTCCAGAAGCTCTCGCTGTTCTAATTAATGTCCGAGAAAATTGGTCACTAAGAATAAAGGAAATTCGTAGGTTACTAGTATTCGATCATAGGCATCTTTGGAGCATTGTTCGTGTATTTTGGGATCACCGGGTGACCAATGTTTAGGCTAGGGATAGGGATACCAAGCAAAGGTGGTAAATTGGTTGACGGGGTTGTGAATCCTCATGCATCTAAGTCAGTCAGTCAGTAACAACGTAGAACTTCGTACGTTCGTACATCACTTCGAGTTACTACACCACATGAGCACAAAGATGCAGTGGTCGATTCAAATCCCGTAGTGGTAGAGGTAGTAAAAGTAAAAGCAGTCATCGGAAACATTCGGGTTTGAAGATGTTATTCAATGAGTATAATACAGTGAAATAAATTTGGGAAGAGAAAAAAAAGAGACAAGGAGGAATAAGGAGATCAAGATTTGGGAGAACACAAAGAATGGATGCACCGGCGCCGCTGCAAACGATTTAGAGCCATGTCATTCAGGGTCTCTAACCATCGGTTGCTATCATCTCGCGGTCCCCAACCATGTAGTCTACACCTACCAACATGACTCAGTCCACTTGTCAGAGACTTCATGGACTTGTGCCATGTTTTGGTCTGGCCGCCCCTAGCGTTCTTCCAACCTACTCCTATACCACTGAACATCGCACGTCGAGGCAGTCGGTCGTTGGGCATACGTAACACGTGTCCCAGCCATCTCAACTGATGAAGTTTCACTACTTCATAAATTGATTTGCCATCCTTACCTAGTACCCGTTTCCTAACAACTGCATTACTTACTCGATGGTCCAAGGATATACGAGCGATGCTTCGAAGATACCTATGATCAAATACTAGTTACCTACGGATATCCTCTACTCTTACCAGCCATTTTTCACTGCCATAAAGTAGGATGGAACGAACTGCTGCACAGTAAACCCGTCCTTTGGTTGGTAGACGGATATCTCGCCTACGCCCTAAATGATGCAAGTTGGCAAAAGCTAGTCGAGCCTTCTGTATCCGTGCTGAGATTTCGTCACACACCAGACCAGAAGAGCTGATGAGACTTCCAAGATAAGTGAAGTAGTCGACACGCTCAACTACTTCACTCCCTATCATTAGTTCAGGTGTCAATGCAACCCAATCCTGAAGTAACATTTTGCATTTCGAGGGAGAGAATCGCATCCCGAACATGTTAATGTTGTTGCTTTGAGTGGTCATAAGACTCTACGTTTTGTCAGCGTCTTCACCAAATAAAGCTATGTCATCAGCATATTCTAAGTCAACAAGTAAACCTCCCGGTAGAAGTTCAACCTCTAGAATTTTAGATGAGGAAAGTGTTATTTCTAAAAGTACTTCGATGACAAAGTTGAACAAGAATCGAGAGAGTGAGCAGCCCTGACGAACACCATTTGAGGTAATCAACTCTGATAATAGTTCGCCATAAGCTCTCACTCTAGCAGTTGTGTTCGAGTAGAGAGCCTTTATAAGGTTAATGTACTTTTTTCGTACTCCTTTCAGTGACAAACACTGCCATTGAACTTTGCGATCGACAGAGTCAAATGGTGCTTTAAGGTCGAGAAATACTACGATTGTGGGGCGTCTGAACGTGTGTCTGTGTTCTAGAACCTGACGTAGTGTGAATATCTGATCTATACAATTACGTCCAGGTCGAAAAGCAGCCTGATTTTCTCTAGTCTGCTCTTCACGAGCATTAGTTAGACGTCGAAGTATTATTGAAGCTAATATTTTAGACACTATATTAGTCAAACTGATTCCTCTGTGATTGTCACAAGAGGACTTTTGTCCTTTCTTATAGACTGGCACAATCAGTGATTGAGACCAGTCAGATGGGATTACGTCCAGCTCCCAAATTCTACCTAATACCTCAGTTAATCTCATTGCTAATACTGAACCACCATCCTTAAAAATCTCAGGAGTAAACCTGTCAGGGCCTGCTGCTCTCCTTCGTTTCAGATTTCCTATAGCTTTTTCAACTTCGTAAATAGACGGAGGACCCACATTAACTTGCCATTCAGGTTGACTGGAGATCGTGGGAAACCGAAGTGTGGCTGAAGGCCAGTTGAACTGATCTCTGAAGTATTCTGCCCATCGATCCAATCTCCTGGATTGAGAATGTATAATATTTCCATCTTTCTCTGGGAGTGTTTCGCTAGCAGTCGGTTTCCTAATACCGGTTCCCTTAACAAGTCTGAACAATTGTCTGCTATTACCTATTGCCGCTGCCTTTTCCATCTGTCTTGCTTTCGCTACCCACCACTGTTCACGATCATTGCGTAGACTTCTTGTGAGCTTGCGCTTAAGCTGACTCCGCTCTTCATTATGTTCAGAGCCGGGTGGAATGAGTTTCCGAGCATCTATCAGTGCGATAGATGCTGCTGAGATCCAGTGTTGCTCCCTAACCTTACGGGTTACCGTACTAGCAGATATCATTGCTGTTTCCACAGCTTTTCGGATATCATTCCATGCTGCCTCGGGGTGGGCATCACATACATGGCTGCCTAACTGTTTTCTTAGTTGTTCTTGAAATGGATCTTAGTGAGTACGTTAAATGAAAGTTAGACCCAGCCAAACCAGAACGTGACGTCAGTCTCTGAAGTCGTTGACTGTTGGTCTAAACCATATGGATTTATGCATACTGTTCGGTTGGAGTCTTCGTGATTATCTTAACTGATGGTTGAAAAAGCCATGTGACATTTCTCAGAATCGATCGTAATGGCTCGTTTGCATCTACTCTTTGTCTTCTCGTACGTTTTGAGTACTATTTAAACTTATGTTAGTTTAATTTCGGTTATTTATTCACTCCGAAGAAGTGGCTTACATTAAGTTACGGAACGTCAGAAATATAATTTTTCTACTCATTGGGATATTACAAGAATATATTTATTATAATCCATAATATTAAAAAAATACACTATACAATTCAAAACACTTATATCGCTTGTAAAACTTATGGTAAACAATTGTATTGTCCAAGCTGAATGGTTTAACTGTGAAGCTTTTATTATCTCGATAAATGTTCTTATGATGTTGTCTAGAGGGACAGTGAAATCTTAACGATTAAATTAACCAGTTAAGGTAATGCGACCTCAGCAATATCATCATCTTCCTGAGCTAAAAAGTTACCACTTGTAAAGTTTTTTTTATCTTAATAAAGCTACTGAATTGTACTGTTATATATGATATTTTGTAAGTTCTGTTATTCATTATTATATATAACATCATTCTATATCATGAGATATGCTGGTGAGCGGCCTATGCTCCTCCACGAGGGGTAACAGGCGTAAGTAAGTAAGAATATTTTGCGATGGTGAAGATTTGTAGCTCAGGAAAACTGGAGACATATCGGAAGTCCACCAGCACAAATCAATTTCAGTAGCAACAATCCAATGACTCACAAAATCAACTGTATACAAACTTTATTCAAGCGCGTAAAAGATGAAGAAGCGTTCTAATGACTATCCTACAAAAGAACGGCTACCCACATAACGTTCTCAATAAATATCAACCCGAATCATCAGTAACAACGAAATAAGGCATAGAAACCAACAAATGGATCATCTTACTATATATAAAAGACGTATCAGAAATTACAACGAGGTTATTAGGGTCATTTTATTATTTACATTTTATCAGATAGTTGTTGGGGATACACAGAAAATTCCTCGAAAAAAGCCCAAAGGGACCTTGAATACACTGGGAAACATCTTATCCAACCAGTATTCAACAGAAGTTTACCAGAAACATCTAGAAAGTGAAAATTCACGTGTCACATCTCTGATTGGACAAAATGCTTATCCTGCTACTATGTTTACAGGCGTTTCAGAAATTTCCAGAAGCCCAAGGTTATCTGAAATGTTATAAATACCCTCGATTTTCTGTACATAAACTAACCTTGAAGTAAAGTGTTCTGTCTATATTTCGCACCCCTTTCTCCTATGTTCAAGTTGTCGGGTAGATTTAACCTGAGGTTATACTAGAAGCGCTTAAAGAAAAAATCCGATTCAAGCGTTTAATTCGAAGATTTATCATCTTTTAAGTTCATTGATCTGTTAAATATCTTTCTTTTTATTTTCTTCTAAATTATAGACATTTATTGAATGTTAGTACTAGTTTAATTGAAACACCTGATTTCTATTGGGAAAGACCAAATGTTGAGAAATTATTTGAAAAATTAAAATGTGTCCTAAGTGTTTCATCTAGAGTAAAGGTATGTTTAATTAATATATATTTATATGTGTTTTCCAATTAATTTAATTACTTAAATTAAATGTGAGATTATAATTTATGGACGACCTTTGAGTGATGCTACAATGACTTTGAGAAT